AGCTGCATCTTCAGGGCTGCCTGAGGATCTTTCCAAATGACTTCCCGTTGCCTAAGGTTGAGGCCAAGTTCTTCAGCCCAGCAGTCAGGTTCTTCTTGTGTGGCCCCATCTTCCTTTTCCGGCCTCTTTGCCTGTTGCCCCCAGGCAGCCTTTGTTTCGGGCCCCTTAAAGTAGGCCAGTGTCAAGTCCTCCGCCTCAGTGCCTTTGCTCAGGCAAAGCTCATGCTTCTGCCCAGAAGACTTTATTTAGAAAGCCTTCTGGCACAACACACAGTAGTTAGCAACTTCTTTTGTACTTCCATGATACTTTATACATCATCTCAATGACTTCATCTACCACTTTGTATTGAAATTACCTATGACCTCCTTACAGTCAGGGATTCTAATTTGAATTATTTCTATAAATACAGTGGCCTGGCCGGGCACCTGGTACGGGTCTGAATGATGTGTAGCTAAGTGAGTAAGTAAATGGGAGAAAGAGGACTTGAAAGGAAGGGGATAGGTTTAATTTAATTAAATTTGAGACATCAAAAGACCAACCTGGCCTGTCTTCCTCTTATTTACCCAATGCATCATGCCCATGAGATATAGAGACTAAGGAAAGAGGAAGAAGAAGAGGTAAAATGGTTTGGGGTGTTTCAGTTTTTGGTCCTGCCAACAATGTTTGGTTTCGATATCCAACATGGTACTAGTTAGCTGTTAAAACACTAGTCATCCCTGAACCAAACAGAGCTAACCTCCTGTTGTTCATCTATCAAACTCCCAATCATTTTTTAAGACTTTTGTGAAGCCTGCATTTGACTTTGCCCACCAGCTCTTGTAGAGTCAGTCATTTCATTACCACTTGACCTTGATCTTTCTTCTATCACTGCATGTATGTTGTATTTGGCTACCTTAGAATCCATGTTCCTTAAACTTGGATACATGTTTCTCTAGGGGACATATAGCACTGTAGAAATATTATAGTAATTTAATTCTAAGTGATTAGAAACATATATATTTTTATTTATTTATTTTGAAAAAGCCAGCAGTGGATGGGCAGAGAGAGAGAGAGAGAGAGAGAGAGAGAGAGAGAGAGAGGGAGAGAGAGAATCCCAAGAAGGCTCCGTGCTATCAGGATAGAGCCCAATGCAGGGTTCGAACTCAGAACAGTGAGATCATGACCCGAGCTGAGATCAAGAGTTGAACACTTAACCAACTGAGCCACCCAGGTGCCCTAGAAATATTTTTATGTTTAAACAAATATAGTCATATTATGGAAAAGTATCTAAGATAATACAAGAATTTTTAGAATGAAATAGGACATATAAAAATGATAGCATTTATTGAACACTTACTACACCCAAGGCACTGTGGGAAAACATTTTACACTCATTACCTTGAACATTATGCAAGTATTTTAGGTATTTGTCCTGTCCCTGGGGTGAGCATTCCAGCTCTCTTGGTGTAAGTGGAAAGTCTGAGAAGGGTTGTTTACTTGAGGTATGTATTTCCAGTGCCCAGTGATCGGCCTGGTCCAGACTTGAATCTCATTAAAAGCTTGTGGAAACGGAGTGCCTGGGTGGCTCAGTTGGTTGGGTGTCTGACTTCGGCTCATTCAGAGTTCGAGCCCCACGTTGGGCTCTGTGCTGACAGCTCAGAGCCTGGAGACTGTTTTGGATTCTGTGTCTCCCTCTCTCTTTCTGCCTCTCCCCCAGTCGTGGTCTCTCTCTCTCTCTCTCAAAAATAAATAAATATTTAAAAAATTTTTTAAAAAAGCTTGTGGAAAGATTGGATCCTGCTCTCTCTGCTGGAATATCCTTTTCTCCCTTTCTGCCTGGCGAACTCCTATTGGTTCTTCAGTACCCAGTTTATTTTATTATTTTTTAAACAATTTTAAAAAATGTTTATATATTTATTTTTGAGAGCAAGCACGCACAAGCGGGGTAGGGACAGAGAGAGGGAGAGATATTCCCAAGCAGGCTCCACGCTGTCAGCACAGAGCCTGATGTGGTGCTCGATCCCACGAACCTCAAGATCATGACCCAAGCTGAAATCAAGAGTCGGACGCTTAACTGACTGAGCCACCCAGGTGCTCCCTTCAATACCCAGTTTAAATGTCACCTCTACTGTGACTGAAATCCAACTCTCTTCTCTGGCTTCCACAGCTCCTGAACTTCCCTCAGACTGAAAAACTGGTTTATCACTCTTTTTTTTGCTTATTGGACTTCCCTGTAAAGAGGGCAGCTTCCCTGGGGATGAGTCTGAGTCTGATTTCCCAGCACCAAGCAAAGGGTTTGCCACAGAGAAGCCCTCAATGAACATTTGTTGAATGAATCAAGTAATAAAGTTAGCTAATATTCAGAGCTGACCTTCAAAGGAGAAAGAAGGGATTCTGTGTTCTGTCTCTATAGGCCCATTTTTTTTTTTTTTTTGAGAGATAGAGAGAGAGACAGAGTGAGTAGGGGAGGGGCAGAGGGAGAGAGGGAGACGTAGAGGCAGAAGCAGGCTCCAGGCTCTGAGCTGTCAGTACAGAGCCTGACATGGGGCTTGAACTCATGAACCACAAGATCATGACCTGAGCTGAAAGTCAGACGCTTAACCGACTGAGCCACCCCGGGGCCCCTCTATAGGCCCGTTTTCTTAACTTGTGTAGTGGGTTGGATGATGCTCCCTCCCTCTCCCCCGAAAATGAGTCCATTCTCTAAAGCTGGAACCTGTGAATGTTATCTTACTTGGAAAAAAGGTCTCTTGTAATTAAGGATCTCAAAACGAGACCTGGATTATCTGCGCGGGCCCTAAATCCTAAGACAAGCGTCCTTATAAGAAAGAGAAAAGAATATGCAGGAAGAAGAAAAGACCATGAGAAGATGGAGGCAGAGGTTGGAATTATGCAGCCCCGAGCCAAGGAGCATCTGGAGCCACCCGAAGATGAAAGGGTCAAGAAAAGATTCTCCCTTAGAGCCTTCTAAGAGAGGCCCAGCTGACACCTTCATTTTGGGCTACTGGTCTCTAGAACTGTGAAAGAATACACTTCTGTTGCTATTGTTGTAAGCTACTTAGTTTGTGGTAATTTGATACAGAAGCCTAAGGAAACTAACACAGCTTGGAAACAGAAGTGTTTTCTGTGAAATTCCAACAGATCTTGGCATGCCAGGAGTCGAACCAGATGAGATTTGGGATTTCCTAACTAATCCCTTTTCCACAAACACCTGACCACACCACCCATGAGGAACCACTCGATGCTTCAGAATAGGAGACAGTGCAACATCCATGTTAGCCAGCTCTGGGGTCAGAACCAAAGAGTGTTCAGGCTTCTGAACACCCAGGAAAGATAGCATGCTTCCCTTTTATTAAATTAGTTTTAGTGCAATTATTGTACGCGAGCACTTCTCTGGCATTTTGCGTATGTTGATTTACTTAATCTCTACAGCAATCTTATTATTTTACAGATGGGAAAACTAAAGTGGAGAGCGAGGAACTGGCTTGCCCAGGAACACATAGCTAGAGAGTGGCAGAGCCAAGATCGCAAAAGTGCCTGATTCCTGTTGTGTCTGATTCTAAAACACTGTGTTCTTTCAGCTATGTCAGTCCAGGTGGTGGAGAAATTCATAGTCTTGGGGGGGGGGGGGGGAAGGCAGATTGATAGCCTGCAGAATGACTCAATGCTATTTATTATAGAAGCAATCGCTATAGATGCTATCATTATGCTCAAGGAAGTCTTCATGGAAGAGGCTGCATTTGAACTGGTTTTTCACTAAAAAACAAACATATACCGGGGCACCTGGGTGGCTCAGTCGATTAAGGGTCTGACTTTGGCTCAGGTCACGATCTCACCGTTGGCGAGTTCAAGCTCCCTAGGCTCTGGGCTGACAGGGCGGAGACTGCTTCCGATTGTGCGTCTCCCTCACTCTCTGCCCCTCCCTCGCTCATGCTCTCGCGCTCTCTCTCTCTCTCTCTCAAAAATAAATACACATAAAAAATGAAAACAAATATACACTGATTATCCATCAGGCACCGGAAATCCAGAGATGAATTACAAGGTCCTTTGGCTCGAGGAATTCAATGCGTGTGTGTGTGTGTTACGCACTTATTAGAAGACAATGCAATAGAATAGTAAGAAATATGGTAGAGGCAAGATTCCTAACTCAGGGTCCCCGAGTAGATAAGGGAAGCCCTTTGGAAGAAGGGACTCCACCAGCGGAGGAGATTTGATGGGCAAGTAGGCACTAGAAGGCGAAAAGTGGCACAGGCTTTCTAGGGATAGCATAAGCAACACACTGGTAGAGGTGAAACAGCGTTTTCTGGCTGCCTGGCACACACTGTGTAGCTCAGCGTACTAGTTAGTGGAGTGCGAACAGGGGAGTGGACTTGTGGGTTGGAGTTGCTCACGGAAGAGCAGGGACTGCCCGACAGGTTTCTGGTCTCAGCGCATCCTGCGTGGTGACTTGTCGAACCATAAAATATTCTTTCTCAATGCTCGCACGGTCCTGCGAACCCCTCAGGAAAAAAGGCTGCTCAGAGAAGTTGCAACAGTAGCCCAGCCTTCGCGACCCAGCTGGCGCCAAACGGGTCCCCGCCGTCCAAGGGGAGGCCGGTTACCAGGGCAACTAGGTTCGGGCGGAAGTGGCTCAGAGGACTGACTCTCACTTATCAGGTGACTCTCCTGCCTCCTGCACGTGACAACAGAGCCCAGGCGCTCGCTCTACCTAGTCAGATCCCGCCCCTCTTTCCCCGTACTGACAACTGACACCAGCCTAGAGCAATGGCCCTTGCGGATCTACCAGGAGACCCCGCCCCACGGTAGTGAAAGAACCAATTAGACTGGGGAAAAAAGAAGCAACGCCCCGGGTTTCACCCCAGCTTGACAGACGCAATTTAGGCCATCCCCGGGTCCCTCCGCCCAGAGCCCATTCAGGCCGTCGATGGACAGCCCTTCTACCCAATAGCACATCCCTTGGCCGTCGTTGGGTCCCGCCCCCGTGGCAGCACAACCAATGAGCAAGCCAGGTCTCGGCGGGGTGGTGGGGGTTGCACTGCGGTAATATGGCTCTTCCTTAGCCCGCGGCCGCGGCGGCCGGAGGTGGGGTAGAGCCGTCCTGCCTCTCGGGTGGCGGGTTTCGGGGCTGCAGGGGCTCGGCGGGTCGTGGCTACGCTGTGGTGGCGGATGCCGGAGGAGCGCGGGCCCCGCCGCTCGGCGGCCCCTGGGTCAAGATGAGCGCCTCCGCGTCGGTCGGGGGCCCGGTCCCCCCGCCGCCCCCGGGCCCGGCCGCCGCGTTGCCACCCGGTTCTGCCGCGCGGGCCCTGCATGTGGAGCTGCCCTCTCAGCAGGTAAGCCCGCGGGCTCGCGGTGCTCGGTAGGGGGTGGGGTGGCAGGAGGCCGGGGAGGAGAGCCCGTGGGCGGCGGGCGGACCCTGTGCCAGCCGGGGGACCCGGGCGAGTGCCGGGGAGAACTCGGGGGACCGAGGACTTCAGGATTGTGAGGCGAGGGAGCCAGCGACGTCCGATGCTCTGGGAGATCCCCGAGTCCCCCGGAGGGATCCCGTTACTGGAGACCGGCTGCAAAGAGACGGGAAGAGACCCAGTGGAACTCCCTGGGGGCCCCGGCCTGAGCCCGCCTCTCCCCAGCTGGGGTGCTGGGGATTCCCTTGCGCGGACCCTCCTCCTCATTCCTCCTGGGAAGGGACCCGGGGAAGCCCGGGAGTCACCTGAGAGATGGGGAAAGCGCTTTTCCTTTCTCTACCCACTTGCGGAGAAACCAGTTGGTACTCTTTCCTACGGGAGAAGTTGAGGAATCTTTATGGTTTCTACCGTTTACTTTTCATCTCCTTGTTATGAAGTACTCCCCTCGGCTTCCCAAGAGAAATCCTTTGGGGCTTTGGGGTTTCCTTCCTGATTCTCAGACCCCCAAGGATCGCGTTTTAGCAATTTAGGGGCACCTTCCTCCTTCATTCCCTCAAAGGACTCCCCGTGGAAGGAGGATCTGATGTATATGTTTGTGTCTTACCCCATCCTTTAGCGGGGGTTTTGAGGGCTTCTCGGGTCCACATTGTAAGCGGATAATGAAGAGAGAGGACTGAGCTTGGGGGATCCAACACAATTCTCGGTGTCAGCCGTATGTCTGTATGGTACTTCTTCCCTCCACCTCTCCCTTGCCAGGAAAGGACCTTTCACCCTCTCTCGTATCCCTGTTTCCTTGAAGAGGACCCAAGGAAAAACTGTCAGTTCCTGAGACTTACCCACGCAGGATTTGTGTCAAGGGCTCAATGGCCAGTAATTCATTTCATCCTGACAGTTCTATGAGATAGCTATTTTTTATGATTTCCCGTTTTGTAGTTCAGCAAACTGAGTCTCAAAGATGGAAAATCCCACGTCCAAGGCCTTGAAGTCAGGAAGTGCTGAGGCTGGGTTTCACAGTCCAGCGTTGGGACCCTGTAGCCCGGGCACATGGCTGTGTGCTTGAGACTTGAGAACCTTCGCACAGGATGGAGCACGGTCCTTCACCCTGCATTCAACTACCCCTGCCCTAGTACTTAGGAAAGATTCTTAAAGAAGAAAGCAGAGTTTGGGGCAGGGGGTGGAGGGGATATGAGATGGGTTTGAAAGCAGGAAAAGTAGAGGGGGTGCTAAAGTGGAGAGCTGCACTGGAGGTCTTAGCTGCACTGGCCACTGAGCTGAATTGTGTGCAGAGGCAGGACTTTTTATGTGGGAGAAGAGCATTTAAAAGCTGGGGTTAGCATGTGCCCTAGTTTTGTGGTGCTGTTGGGAAGCGAGTTGGTGGAGAATGTTAGGAGTTTGAGGGTAGTGAGGTTTGGATTGTATTTATGAGGTCCTGGGAAAGATTAGAAGTCTGGCAGGGGGAAGACTAGCCTTAGGAATGAGCATTAAATGTGAATTTTCAGGTGTGTGGGGAGGTGGATTGTGAGGATGGGTACTGAGAGAGGCGATGGTGGGCACTGTTGGGAGCAGCCTGGAGAAATCCGAAGTATTGAGGGCCAAGAGGGATTTAGCTTGGGGGAGCTTTGGGAAAATGTGGGATTAGAAAAGAGGAAGCATCATTTGTTGCATAGAGCATGTTCTCTGATAACAGTTCACAGTTTAAAATGGGGGAAATAGCTAAACTGTCCGTGGAATAAATTTAACTGCTTTTGTAAGCCTTTGTCAAATTTTTGGATTTGTGCCGAGGGATACATAGTGGCTTAAGTGTTTAGCTGAATGCCATATGAGCTCTGAGTATGGTATTTACAGCTTTCTGGGGGTGTCATCCTTCTTGAATTCTTGGAAGGTAGCCTATATAACAAAAATACTTTTGCAGTTGACGTTTTTTTTAGTTTTATGGTCAAAGTGCCTATATAATGAAAATACTTTTACTTTTGCAACTGACGTTCATTTAGCTTTGGGGGTCAAAGTGTTCAGGTTTTTAGGGTGTGAGTAACATTTAAAAAAACATTTTTGTATAAGTGTTATCTGTATAAACTGCACTGATTATTTAGCACACAGCTTGATGAATTGTTGCAAAGTGAACACAGTTATATAACCATCACCCAAATTAAGAAATACAAAATTATTAGCATTCCAGAAGTCCTCTTTATGTTCTCTCCCATCTCTACCTTTTCTTTCTCTCCAAAGGAACTACTAGTCTAATTTCTAACAAGAGATCGGTTTTTGCCTGCTCTTGAATGGTGTATAAACGCAAACGGTGTATCATGCAAAGACCACATTTTTTTGTGGTCTTCTTTGTCTGATTTCTGTTGCTCGGTATTCTCTGTGAGCATCATAGGATGTGTGTGTATAAGACTTTTTTCTTTTAGCATGAATTCATTGTCTTTTGTTGTTGTTCTATGTAGCTTTTGCAAAATTTAAAAAGTTTAGATAAATTGGAAAATCAGTTGATAACTTTCTTTTAGATGACACTTTGAAAATTGTTTCGTTTTACTGGATCCCATGGTATTTGATAAGATGTCAGTCTTTTGAAACAAATAAGTAAACACTGTTTTAGGATTTCTGTTGTAAAGCTGATTGTCTCAAAGCATAGATTCAGTGCTTCCCCCAGGCTGCTTCTTGGCATTGTTGACAATTTTGAGTGGGTAGGTCAGTCTGTGAGATGTGGAGCCACATGCATAGCTTGTACCCACAAGGTACTAGGAGCACCTGTCCAGTCCGGACAGTCAAGAATGTCTTCAGGGGCTGCCAAACGTCCCTTAGAGGGGCAAAATTACTCCTGACTGACAACCACTGTTCTAAGTATATTTTCATCTTAGGGTAGACAGTGTCCCTGCTATTTTGTACTCATTCATTTCAGTTTTCATTAAGTCCCATTGATTCTCATGGCTGTGATGTTTAAAATGTTAATTTACTGTATTAGTTTTAAAGGTGTTGGAATCACCTTAATCTGCCTCCAGGAAAAGACTTACCTATTTTGCTCAAAGGAAGCCCACAAAACTATGTATAAGACCCAACTTATTTTTGTCTTATTTTAATCCACTTGTCGTTAAAAAAAAAATTTAGTTAAGGCTGCATAACTCCTGAATCTTTGTCTATGTGAGTAACTAGTCCCTAATTGTCAACCTGTCTGTGTCAAATGGGACTACTTACTACTTAATCTTTGCCTCCTTTTGCTTCTGTATGATCTTACTTTAATTGTTAATTTAAGCATGAACTAGTCACACATTTTGAAGACTGTTTTTGATCTTTAATTTTTGGTTGAGGTTTGTAATTAGTGAATATAAGCTCATCTGAAGAATAACTTCCTTCACACCCTTAAATTTAGAGTTTTGAAATAAAATTTTGTGTTTTGTGGTAGGGGCATTTAATACATCCTAAAAGTTTAATTGAGAGCACTTCTTTCCTCCCCAGAGTCTTCCTCACTTGAGTCTAACCTAAACTACATTTCTGTAGATACTCAGAAATGGGTGGTTTTTTAGTGATTGTTCAGTGACCCTTCCAGGGGGCCGCATATTCCTTTAAGAATTTGGTAAAAGCTATAGACACCTTCCTTAGAAAATGCACTTACATACGTAAACACAGTTTTGCCTGCGGTTTTGGTTTTCTTGAAACATATGTACATGGAAACCCCAGTATCAACAGCCCTGAACTGGTTTATTCCTTTCCTTTAAAAATTAAGAAAAAATTTGCTATTTATTATTTGTTTTAGACAATCATCCGTGTCAGTGTATATACATCTACCGTATTTTGCATAATAATGTTCACTTGGCTTTGTTTAACTCCTTGTTGGTAGCCCTTTGTACAGTTTCCAGTTTTATCTGTTACATTGTTGCAGGGAATATACACGTATAGGTATCTTTGTACACTTGTGCTAATATTTCTTTAGGATGAATTTTGAGCAGTGAAATCACTCAAAGGATATATGTATATATTTAAATTGGTATAAATACATAGAATTATACTTCATATAAAATATGTACATGAATACTTTTATTATTTGTACGTTTTTGTTAACTTTATTTTTTATTTTTATGTTTTCATTTTTGTTAACTTTAGAAGATATTAGCAAAGTGTTTCCCTGAAAGGACATGTCCACCACACTACTACCACTAGATTATGACAGGGTTTGTTTACCCATCATATTTTGTCAGCTTTGGGCATCGGAAGTTTTCTCCGTGTTTTCCAATATGATTTTATATATATGTATAATATATGTAGAATATAATCATATAACTTATACATATATGAATGTGTATAATCTGCATCTGTATACACATATGTATATATTTTTGCTATTTAAATTTGTATTTCTTTAATTATTATATTTTAATAGCTTCATTTAATGTATACGAAACACTGTGCTAAGTTCATGATCTCATTTATCCTTAAACAACCCTATGGATTTCATCTTTGCATAGGTTTATGTAACATTGTAATTTCCTTCGTGAATTGCAGGTTTATTTTTGTCCTTGGCATTAATTTTTCTGATCGCTCAATGTTTTTCGCTGATTTGAAGGGCATTTATTTTTCTTCTCCTGTGTTTGGAAGAGGTGGACTATATTAGCTCTATTAACATTTATATCCCCTGAACTTTTTTATGTAGACATTATTTTTCAGAACAGTTTTAGATTTACAGAAAACTTGAGGTGAAAAGATAGTGCAGAAACTATATACTCTACACCCATTTTCCCCTATTCTTGATGTCTTCCAATTGTATGATACATTTGTTACAATTAATGAACCAATCTTGATGTGTTATTACTAATGAAAGTCTCCAGTTTATTCAGTATTCCTTAGTTTAAAAAATTGGGGTAAAATATACATTCCATAAAATTTGCCATTTTAATACTTTTTAAGTGTGTGTCTCAAAGGCAGTTATGACTGTT